GCGACTCAGTGTAGTGCCACAATCATGTTAAACATTTCCACACAATATTTACAGAAAAAAAAAAAAAATGTTAATAACCACAAGCCATCCTTTCACTGATATATTTAATTCTAAATGTTATGGTTAACCAAAAATGTCTTTTAAATCCTAATTTTGCCATTACTATCCTAAAACTGCTACTTTCTTAAAAAAAAGTAGTTTTGCAGTACATGATATTGGCCTGATGTCTTCAGGCAACCTATGCAATAGAACCAGGTGAGATTTTATCTACCACAGAATACTGCCCATCTAGTAGATTTCCATACTTTGTGAAGATAATTCAAGTGTATATTGAAATCTGGTTGCACTAATTGACAGAGCAAATTACTTTTGGAACCATATTTCCAAAGGGCCTCTGAATTTATTCCTTCAATTTTACATGCATGGGCTTCCATACCTTTGTGAATTTAATGTTTGTGTACATCACTCTGACATTTCCTAGCATTTGAAGAACAATTTCAAAGACTATTTTTGCACATGTGGTATTAGGACATTTTAGTAGAACAGATTTTAGAAAACTCATTTACATTCTGCACATTTAGCCATCTTGGTATCTTCATCCTACTTTCAAGTACTTTAATCAAAATTTTAACATGGAATTTTCTTAGAAGAGAGGCTGAATTCCAGACATAAAACTGAAAAAGAAGAAAAAAAAATCCTGCCTCATTTCCTATGCTTAGTTTCCGCTCTTCAGAGGAGGAGAAGCCTGGAAAAGCTTTTGACTGTAAACCTAAATATCACTGAGCTCTTTATATATATACATACCAGGCTCTGAAATCACGGTACCCCAAAAAAATGCAGACAATTGATTAATAATGAGGTCAGAAATACAAATAAATTTACTTCTAATGAAGACTGGAGACACAGTAATCAAAGTGTTAAAAATTCATTTCATGCACATCTCATTTGCCTCTTAGCTGATATTTATCACATAATTCTGTGAGAAAGTAGAGGCCTAAGATGCTCCAGATAAATGTCTCAATTAATTGTACAGAGGTAGCCCTCTTTGAGCTGAACCAGAGCTGTGAGCTCTTTATTAAAAGCACTATTCTGTAGCCTGTAACCTTGTTCCTTGACTCCTCTCTAGTTTCCAATTTAAACAAGTCCCCATGCGGCCCGCTCTAAAGGGCTTTGTCTCCCTGTCATTGTTAAGAGAGCCGAGGCATCCTGGAAGTGTGAAATCAGACCTCATGAGCTGAACGGTTCCCCAGGGAACGCCGGACCGCGCAGAAGGTCAAAGTCATGGGCTGGACCATCTGAAAGCGTCTGATCGCCGGTCTGTGACACAGCAAGTGGGGTGGGGGCAGGGGGAGAGGGGAGCCAGGGGGCTAGAATTGAACACGTCTTAATTAAAGCCCAAAGACAGCAAAACAAACTGTTTTCTAGGCAGGCCGTCACACGGAGCTTGGATTTTGCTCTGCTAATGAATCTGAGTTGCTAACTATTATTCCTTAAAATAATAAGACTTTCGCTGAAGTTGATCAAACCTGTGGCACATCTTTTCCCACCCTGCTTGCTTCTCGTCAATAATAAGGCAGAGGTTTTGAATTTTATTTCGTGGTACAAGGAAAAGGAGGAATGCATCTGCCCCAGTAAAGGAGACGCAAGCACTGCCTGCAAAGCCAGCAGCCTTCCACCACGACCCACCTATACCTAACTTTGCTGCAGAAGGAATACGCTTACCTGACTATTGCCTAAACTGGCACCATGTCATGGTGAAGGCTCTATTGCTTTCCAAAACTCATACGGGTTAGGTGAACAGAGTATGTACTAATTTCAGAGGCCAACTGGCACAATGAGTCCATTACACTTCACGGTTTACTGCACCATCAGAGTATTTCTTCACGTAAAAGGACGTCACTGTAGGCACACACACTGCTATGCCGGGGCTCCACAAGCAGCCGAACCCTCGAGAATGTCTGCCTGTCTTCCAGAGGAACCACAAGTGAGCAAAGATGTGGGGAAAGGGGAAAATGTAAGTTCCTTTAGGTGAGGATTTAGGGAGAAAACAGCCTTGCACTGAAGAGCTAAAACACAATAGAAGATTTAAATGAAACTTTCTTCTCAGGAAGAGAAGGAAAAAGTAACCACCACACTCAATGTCTTTCCATTTGTTAGATTATAGTTTCAAAGAAACGTATTAAAAAACCCCGTATTTTCCAGGAAGGGGTACTTGTGACTACAGTTTCCAACAGAACATAATTTTGCATTGGTGGAAGCCCTAAAATTGTGTTTTGACCATGGAAAGATGCTGTTTTTCTGGGGGAAACATCCTCATAGACCTGGCAATTCTCTCAAAGGCCCCGGTCCTGGAAGATGCCCTATTTTTCAGCTCTCCCCAAAACCAAGGTGAGCTTTCAAACACCTGCGGGGAATCTCTCAACCCCTCTGCGATCCTCCCTTTCCTAGACTTCCGTGCAAATAGGCTGAGTGAGGAGAAGTCTCACTGTGTTCTTTGCTGGGGTATTTTTAAAACCCAGTTATGGCACGTTTGAGCAGCGCCCCATTTTCAAACTGGTAGTGCCCACTTGCTCCCCTGCCGCAACTTCACCAAAATTTCAGCCCACCCTGGCATCTTGTTCAACCCATGTGTATGTGGGGGGGTTGTAAACTGAGGACTGAACCACTACCCTTAATCTCTCTCTTTTTTTAAAAAAAATCTGTACTAACCTTAATGATTTGAAGTGCACTGTCCAACACCGGGCTATTGAGATTGGAGAAAAAACTGCCCTCGACTATCAACAGTTTGTTAGGGGCTTAGCTGAAGTGACCTACTGTAATAGCATTCAGCTGAACAAGGCTATGGGCTTTCTGTGGAAAGGAGAAGAATCGAGGGTTTCATTAAAAAGTAATTGGTGCTTTTTACTCATTCATTCAACGGGAGTCTCAATTGCTCTTTATTCACAGAGAGTTAATACAGTATTACAATGCTGCTCAATGAATGTATGGTAACAAAAGAAAAAATTCACATTTTGAAAGGAAAAAAAAAATCCTTGCAACTGTAGTAAGATTGATGACTACTTAAAAGATTACAGAAATCTTTTTCCGTCTATGCTTATGCTTAATGATGGAATATTAAGGATTTTTAAAATCCATTCAGCCCAAACTAATAAATTTTGATTTATTACTTCACATGAAAAGATTCCTGAAAGTGAAATGGGATATGTTCAGCAGACAGGAAACAGAGCAAATCACACAGGTACTATACAGGTGTTTCACTACTTTTCAGACTCAGGGGAGGGCAGAAGATTAACTCCGAATAAACTATATAGTAAGAAGAGCAAACTAGTCCTCAGCTTTTACTCACACACGCAATCCTTAGTCATGTAAGTTATACCACTGATGACAGTGCTCTCCACACTGACTCATAAGAATTGCTCAGTTGAATAAAGGTGGAGAGTCAAGTTTTATATGATTTTTGCAAACATGATTTATTGACAATCACCAAATAACTACTTTGAGTTATTTCTAAATATTACTATTCAAAGATTAATCTGAAATGAATGATCCGTACATACCCATGAGTTACTAAAAATAGCTATAAATTACTACAGTAGTTAATAAAACCCCTCTGTCCTCTTTTCAAAATACCAGATGTTTTTGTCCAATATATACAATGATTTCTGTAATCTCTGGAATGCACAGCCATCTTACAAAACATATCTGCCGTATAAATGTTTTTTCTTGCTAATGAACAAATATGCAGGACATGGGAAGGTATTGAGTGTTCTTTCCTGTCTTCCTGACCATTGTTCTAAATGCAATGTCTGAAAAATTTTGGTAGCTCTGTACATCTTTAATTGAATCAAATGTATTTCCAAAAATTTGTTCAACCAGCACAAATGACATGTTGATCTGGAAAAGCCGAAGACTGAACGAGGTCAGGGACTGAATTATCCCATTTGCCCCTGAATAACTTAATCTCTCTCTCTGTTCAGACCACATTGGATTATAAGGTCAAAGCAGAGTGAGGAATCTTTAGAAGCATTTCTCCAACCTCCCTGAAAATAGAATCTGTTATTTTGCGTGCCACAAATTGGATGATCAGTTTCAGCAATAAAATGTTTGCTCTGTTACCTTGTCTGAGAAAAAAAAAAAAATACTGGTACTCATGCTAATTTACAAAAAACTATTAAAAAGTGAGTATGTTGCTATGTATCTGCATCTGCTCCTGTAACAGAACATTTATGTCCAAATTGCAGTTAAACCAGCTAGATTAGTATAGTTTCTTTTTTCTTTTTTTTTTTTAAAGCAGAGATGGTTATTTTCTGACACAGAAGCAGTTCATTTTGCTCCATTCAACTTGTGCAGTGTGAAGGTGATGTACTTACAGGAGGTAAGTTGGACATTTCTGGAGAAATATGGTCAGTATGGCTCAAATACTTTTTATTTTGAAAAGCAAAAGGTTAAATTATCCATTCAGCTTATATCACATAAAATAGAAAATAAAAAAAGATATTCTTATGTCCCTTCTTAAACAGATAAGCAGTAGTTACAGGAAACTGCATTTATTTGAAATGTCTGAAACCAATAGCAGCCTTGCTAAATACGTGGTAGATATCAAGCGGTTCTTTTGGCAACAACTTTAAATTAGTATCTAAGTCTAGCACCTTTCATTTGCCTTGTCCTCTGGAATTCAGCTTTAATTTGGATAATTTTGGGTATTTTTATCTACTAGAAAAAGAAGTATTTTCTATGCATTTTCTCCAGGACCTCTGATGCAGAAAAATGTGTATTTCACCATTCTGAGAAATAACCTACATTAGAATGACTTACTGCCTTGCTTACAAAAGTTTTGTTTGTTTGTCTGCAGATTTTTTCCTTAATGAGCAGAAGGTGAGACTGCACAAACAGACAATAAACTTTAGATAAACTTCTGTTTTAAACATTTTTTTTTCACTTCTAAAAAGGCCCAGTCTTACTACGGGATTTACTGTCACAGAAGCTAAATGAATCCTTGCCTGTGACATCAGCTGCCATCAATGCTTCTGCCCTGATGACCTTCACCTGAAGAAATCCCACATCCTTCATGTTATGGAACATCATCGTTGGACTCTAAAAAATAATATAAAGAAAAGGAATTCTGAATTGCAAAAAAGACAAACCAAAAGCAATATGAATAGTCTCCTCCCTAACCCAGATATAAGTCAGTGTAATTCTAACGTACTCATACTTTTAAATATTATTTTACGAAGAATGTACAGTTGTCAGTGTTTCTTACAGTATTTTGCAACTTTAACTTACCAATGAAAAATGCAAAGGAAAAATTAGAATATGAATGATTAAATATAACACTAATTCTACTGAATTAATCCCCTAATATTACATGAACCACTGTCCATCAAACTTTTAAATGATAGCAGTGTATTAAAAAATTAATACAAACAATAAAACACTTCCTCTCCCTGAATACTTTTGTGAGATCTATGTTCAGATTTTCCCTTTGATGGCTCCAATAATATTTTGAACAGTGACTTAGGGCCAATATTGTTTTTGTTGTAGTTGACCATTATACGCAAGCTTGCATATAGCATGTATGCATATATAAGCTTGCAAATAGCTTGCAAATAACATGAGCAAAAACAATCAAAAGAGGATTATAGCAACTTAATAATTTTAATCATGTGCAATAATTCATGATCATGTGCAAAAAAGATCAAAAAAAAAAGAATTAAAAGATGGTTCCAATTCCATGGCAGAAAGCTCTTACTATAAATCATTATTTAACATAAATTTCTGCAGTATATACATAAAATAAAAAGAGGAAAAAAGAATTAAAGAGTAGACTAACAGTTGCATTTATTCATCCAACATAGTTTTAGAAAGCTGCTTGGAAAGGGTGTTCTGTTGCTGCACTTTTTTCAAATAACTAAAAGCAACAAACTGGGAGTATTGCACCAGTTAGGTGTAATATACTAAAATTCTCAAGTCCTAACTTCGAATGTAATTTAAAAGTTGCAGAATTTCAAACGATAGAGTATCGAATGCAACTTTGAATCTGCAATCAATTAATAACATTCATTATAGCATTATCATTCAGTTTTTAGATAACCTAGGGGAGGAACTCCAAAAGAGGAGACTAAAATTAGATTTTCAAATCCATTTAAAATCATATATATATATGTGGCCTAAATTTTGGTTGGTTTTGCAAGTCTTGTTCATAAATACTAGCACATACCTTTATTTTGAAGTATTTTAAAATCTGGACTAATGCATTTAATGCCTGTGACCTTTTCTAAAATTTTAATGTAGTGCAGGTGAAACCTTTTCGACTGCTTATGATAATGTCCAGATTTCTAGGAAACGCAAACATCAGGTAAAACACCAAGTCAACAATTCTTTAATGTATTATGAAGGCAAAATCGACTGTTATAGAAAACCAGAATAAATAACATCACTGATCTGAAAACCACAGGTGCTGCTTAAATGAAATATTAAATGTCAGCTTGCAAAAACTACAGTATGTTTATGCATAGATAACCTATCCATTAAAATTTTAGACACGTACTATGCATCCCTGTCTTTTTATTAATAAGACAATTCTAACAGTTAAATCACACTGATATTAATTTCACAAGCCCCAGCTGACCATTCACTGTTTACAGTGAAGGTTTGGCCTTGGCATGCTGAACTGAGGAATCCCGTTCAGTGCAGTACCCTACATGCTGCATACATAGGAATAAACGCATGCGTGTTACACAGGGCAACAGTTAATAATTTTTTATCATTTTTAATATGTTCATCATCAGAAATACGGCTTAAAAATACTGATGGTCAACTTTAATCAGCACACACTCACCCCCCTGCTTATGTTCTTACAAGCTGAGGGTGGCAGAGACGGTGTTACAGACAGCACCGTCACAACGCAAAAGCGTGTTGGCACCATCCCTCATTTATTACAGTAACGATCAAGGTTTGGAAGCTTCTTATCAGAACTGGTACCACAACAGAGATAATTCTGCTCTAATACCATGATGAAAGTGAAAGGATTTGCACAAATGTTTCCACATTTTACCCAAGTTTCCAAATGACGGAAACAGACACCAAGGTGCAGAAAGAAAACAAAGCAAAAACCCAACACAGAGCAAGCCAAGCGACTGCCCCCCTTCCTGCAATGCCGTACAGTCCCCTTTTTCCAAATTTCATCCTGCTAAGCTCATTCTGCAAAAAGGCACCAGTGCTGTATTTCACTGTGCTACCTTTGTTAGCATCCCGAAGAATAATTATTTTTGAACTTTTAGTTCCAGCAAGTCAGCTGGCTTAGATTAATTTACTGCACATCGTGACTGCGGAGACTGCTGAAAATGTATACAATGCCATGGCAGAGACTCTGGGAGAAGCAAATGACTTTAATACCTTACTTTAAATACATAACTTTAAGTAATGATTTATCAGATGATATTCTGTCTTCTTATTTATGATTATTGTTGAAGGCCTCAAAACCCGCACAGTTTCTGAAGCCTGAAATTTCCATAGCAGAGGAGTCCGTGATTTGCTGTGAATCTTTTCAGCCCTCAATAGATGGGAAAAGATTGAAATGCTCTGGATATGAGTCCTCTTTATTTTTTTAATGAAAGGCTGTATAATATATTTTCTGTATGGCTGCAGCAGCTGTCAGGGAGAGCATCTCAGTTCAGCTCTATTATGGGAGAAGCAATACCCCATCCTATGGCATCGAGATACACTGAGGGGCCAGTACTGATTGACAGCTTGTCACCATGACGTCTTATTCCATCTCTGTTATGGAGAAAATTAATGTCACACCACCAGCCTTATGACTCGCTGTCATCTTAGAACTGCTCACCTTTTATCAATGCTCTAAATAACATTTCAAGCCCATCGTCTCACGGTGGACAATCTGGTCAAGGGACATTAAATCGGATGACTGTGAAATGTCATAATAAAAATGGAATGCTAACAACTTCTTCTCTAAACTAGCTCCTCTGGTTTTTAAACTGTGACAAGGGGGACCGTGGGTTCAGCACACCCGTTCTGAAAAGGTCATACAATCTCTCTTGGTCTGTACCCATTAATGCGCCCCCCTCCTCACCCCAAAAGGAATTAATCTTTTCAGACAATTGTGGTAAAATAATGGTTCAAACAGTAATGCCTGTTTAATTTGTAAGGCTCTGATGTTCAGCTACAAATGGTTAAATGACAGTAATAGAGTCATTTTCCAAGGCTATTTGATCTGATGGCAAGGTCAGCTCATTAACTGTTTTTGGCTGCAGAAAGGGTGCAAAATACATTTCTCAAATGGACGCTAGATTTTTCAAGAGGATGAAAAATAACCCCCAAAACCCAGCCACTCAATGGGGAACAGTATATCTTGCTAATTGCATACTCTTTCTTTGTATCGGTTCTGAAGTACAGATATGAATACCAAAGACAAATCAAACATCAGTGAAAATAAGCTATTTGAATTTCGTTAATCCTTGTAATTTCTTTCTGCTGCTGTGCACGGGTCATTTTAATAAAAACAGTAAAATTTATCAAAAAGGTATATTGATGCTACAATTTTCAAAAACACGTAACGAGAAATTCATGCCTCTGCAATATGAACATCTTCCAAAAATATAAATGTTTTCAAATGCATACAGTAATGTAAAGAAAAGAAAAGACACATATCCATGAATATGTAAGAAACAGAAATAAATAAATCAATCTTACACCACATAATTATGCTTTACACTGGGGACAAAAAATTGAGAATTTAGGAAAAATGGTTAATACACGCTTGTAACATGTTTCTATACTGCTACTAAATTATCAAAACCATAAATATCACTTGACTGCCATAACATCACACACAATAATCCACAGAAATACGGTATTGTTGCACTTGGTAGCAAGAAGTATGTCACCTCAAAAACCTATCCATCAGAAATTTATTATATTTATAAAGATCTATTCTAAGAACCACAGACTGCCTTGGTGGATTCCAAAATGTGCAATAACTCTCTTAATTGTAACTATTTTTCAAAGATGGTGCACAATACCTTAGCTCTCAGTTGGTTTAGGAATATTATGTTTAGCCTCACTAAGTCACCTCTATTAAACTGTGTTTATGATAACGCTATTGGTGTATGAGTTGTACAAGCATTAGCAGACAGCTGATTCAGTGGAGATAGCCAGAATAAATTTGCTGAAGCGCACATCCTGCTAATCTGTTTGAAGAATATTGTACAGCATTAGTACTAGCACTTCATGTTATCTGCACAGCCTGATAAGGTACATCTTTATTAAATTCAGTTATTGAAAGGATGTCAGTCATGGAATAGGAATATTTTAAAATCTAAAAAAAATTAAGCGGCTCTTTGTTAGTCAGAGCTTGGTTTAATGGCTGAGTGTCTAGAGAAGCCTTTCTAAACACCTGGCAGCATTGTACAATAAAAGCTTTGTAATTTTAAGTGGAAATAGCTTTTTATTTTTTTCTTTCTCCGTGTGTAGTGAGACAGTTACTTTTAGTGATTTAGGTATTAGCAAATGCTGGAGTAAGAGCTCCCCTCTCTGTTGCTTTGATAAAACTACACAGATTCTGTGTTGTGAGGATGCTGGGAAATGAAAATAATTTGCTTCAGAATATTTTGAAATGGAAATATTGTTTAAAACAATTACTTTGATGATGCAAAATACTGCTCCAGCCTCTAATGGGCAGACAAAAAATAAGTTTTCTTGCCATTTAGTAGATGCTCAGAAAAAAGCCGAAAACTATTGGCACCTCAAACCATTTGGCATAAACACTCACTAGAAACTGTACAGTCACTGAGTGACCCCTTAGTTTTTTTGTGCTTGGTAAAAATTATCTGCAAGGCAGTAAAATTAACTTCTTTATGTCACATGATCATATCAAATAGCTGAATTACTGTGTAAAAAATACCTTATTGTATAAAGAGGATTTATAGCATTCTTGACGTTACCTGTACCAGCCGTGATAATATTAGTAAGTAGTTTAAATGATTGTCATTGGCTGAGCGTGATAAGGATGTAAGGGATGTATTTAGATATCCCCCCCCGATACTTATTATTTATATAAGCAAACATTTTGCAAACAAAGGGCAAAAGAGAAGAACTCCATACATATCTCTTCAGTATCTCCTCTCGCTCCTTCTGGTCCTCCAGGGAGTTGACGGAGAGGTCAGAGATAGTGACTGCAGCTGAGGCTGTGAGGGTGACCAGCAACACCAGGCATCCCTCTCCCTCCTCCAGCGGCATCTCCAACTTGTGGGTTTGTTCTTTACTCAGGGTTGAGAGGTCAACCTGGCACCTAGAAACGAACATTCTCCATCAGCATGTGGTTCTCTTCACATCAAACAAGAGCACATTGGCTTACTTGCATTCAGCTGGACAAAAAACCACATCAGTAGAAATTCCTTCCCAGCTTCTGGAAGGATTTCTCTTCAGCTTCAACCCGTGCTGCTCGCTTGTTTTTTGTTTTTTTTTTTTTGAAGCTACGACCTGTTATGCATATGAATAATAAATATTAAAATGAACGTACAGACACTAGAAACAAGGTTAGCTAATACAGCTTACTCAAACGCAGTCAACGAGAACGCTGAAGACCCAGCTTCAGATGCAAATTGCACTTTTTAATTTTGAAGCTCGACCTGTTATGCATATGAATAATAAATATTAAAAAGAACGTACAGACACTAGAAACAAGGTTAGCTAATACAGCTTACTCAAACGCAGTCAACGAGAACGCTGAAGACCCAGCTTCAGATGCAAATTGCACTTTTTAATTACGCCTCTTGTATAAACACAAAACGTACTTTTTGATGTGAACGTTTTTGATACCATTCATCTAACAACAGTAAAAATCCTCTCTCAAAAAAGAATAAATCTGTGTGGACTCAATTGTGATGGAGTTAACATGACTGAGCATAGAAAAACCTGACTTGAGCACCACCCAAAAGGCTCAGCTCTCTTGCAGTAAGCTGTGTGTGGCTCAGGGTCAAAGCTTCATGCAGGCATCCAGGATAAAATTCGATGCTGCAGCCTCTATATAAGAAGATGTCTCACGTTGTAATGAGCAGGGACTGCTTATAACTGCGCAGAGTGGCTGAAGCCAATCCACGCTGCTTGATCCCTTTCTGAATAACCCTGGCTGTACCATACACTGAACTAATGAAGAATGGCTCCATACGTGCCAGCCAGCAGAAATAGCTTTAGAACATCTTTAAAAATAAAAGGTATGGCATGGAAGGAAAAACAGTATCACTGCTAACAAAAAGCTGACCATAAGCTTTTAATTAAAACAAGAATACCTTAGGCCTAGTAAATAGTCTGTCCACAGCTTAGAAGTCTTAATATTTTAATTTGTATAATTCACAAGTTTCAACTTTCCTAGATTGCAACTCTGAGCATGTCTAGAAATTCAATGCCTGTGTCAAATGTAATGTCGGCTTGCACTGCACAGGAATTTCTCTGAAAAACCACTATTTGGAATACTTCTACTTATAGCATCCCCCAGTAATGTTTTGCCAATTCATTACTCTACATAAAAATAATAACAATATTGAAATAAAGTAAATGAATATATTTTATATATCATTAAGCCACTGAATACTCTACTTTTAATAGCGATTATTTAATGTGACAAGCACATGTTCTGTGTGCCACTCTCACTAAACTAAACATCTAGCAAACTCTTTTCATAAAATGTCAATTGATTTTGAAGAGAAAGATAATGTGGTGACCGCAGGGCCAATAAACTGAGAAAAAGGTGGCAGACATGAATAAATAGGCATTTAAGGACAGGAAATAGCCAATTATGAGAATAAATGCGGCCTCATAAAATGGGCACTGTGCTATCACAGGCAGATTAGATTTGCTACAGGAAAATTTCCTTTTAATTTTTTTTTTAAACATTTACTGTCTGTTGTGCAGCTGTCAAAATTAAACTACTGCAAAGCTCATACAGTAACAAGGTTCAATTATTATACAATGAAAAAAAACTGACATAGCATTCTGAGCTAAATGTTTACCTTTTATTTTGAACGCTTTGGATGATAAGGAGCGAGGAATGAAAATAACAACAGTAAGGAAAGACTAAAGCTGTTGCTGTCAGTGCAGGCTGATGGTCAATACAAGTTTCATACAGGTACATAGGATGTCAAATTTTTATTTAGGCTGCAGTGAGGAGTATAAAGCCCTCCTCAAGATAACAAATATTGTAATCAAGCGTTCAAAGCTGGAGTAGGTTAAGATGCCCCTGGTGTTAAATATTCTTTGATAAATTATTTCAAAACAGATACCCCTCAAAAATACGTCTCTGCAACAATATTGCGACTTTAGCCAATCATCATTGAAAGAACCAGTCTAAACTCTCGTAAAGTCAGTAAAAGCATCAGAAAGTCATTATGATACAGGTAAATGCAGAAATAATCCACCCCTCACTCAAAAATAGGCAACAAAAGCTACCCCCACTAGAACAAAAAACCCCTACATCCATCAGAAGACTGCAATGACTGTAAAATTACAGGGTTTACAGGAGAGCTACAAGCTCCAAGTTCTCCAATTCTTGAAGTTACAGCACTTTTGCAACATTAGTAGTCCATGCTATTTTTTATTGAGGCTAAAAGAAGCAACTGACAATTCGGTTTTACCCATGCACCCTTCCTGCAGCCATAAAATATTCCTAATAGCACCACATCCAGAACAGATTACCTGAGAAATACGTCTCTATTGTCTGCTTGATAGATCTCCATAAACAGCCTGTCACCAGCTTGTTATTTCCTAAAATCATACAAAGGGTAGGGAGTGATCTGGAAGCTTTTTCCAGTGAAAGCCTTAACCATTTTACAGGAGAAATATCCTCTGAAGGGCCCTCAGATAATTTGATAAAAAACTAGGGTTATTCCATTAAGGAGTGTCAGCGTTGCACTTTATGGAAATCCAGGTTAAGAGCGTCTCTGTGCGTACACGGCCGGGTGAAAGCACATTTCTCACTCTGCGCCAGGTCCCCTCCTCTGGCCTCGCAGGAGGTGCAGCTCGCATGTGTCTAACTCGAAGGTGTCGAGGCTCGAGGAGCATTCAGCGTGAGGTGAGCGCATCGGCGGCACGTGCACTTCAGTCGAAAGACGAGACTTTCCAATTTACAGACAGACAATTTTTTTTCCATTAATAGTTGAGTTTTTCTTAAAAAAAGAATCAACTTTTTTTGCTCTCACACCAAATTTTCCTGCAAAAAGTTAAACCATTTTTTGTTAGACCTACTTTGCCCTCACCAGATCTTTGCATGGGACCAGAACAGTGAAGGAAGCCTGGTTTTATTAAGGCATTACCTAAGCACTAACCCTATCCTAGAATAACCTTTACAGACATCAGTAGGAAACCCACAAAACTCCTTTTTGGATTAGATTTCCTTACAAGCACTGAAGTGAACAAAATACTTCTAAAGATAAATAGCTTTGGAAAGTTCAAGTTGACAATGCCCCTTTACATTGTACTGAGAGTATATACAAGTATTCCAAGCTTTAAAGCTTTAGCAATGCTGACTTTTACATCAGTTAAGATGTTCTCTTAAAAGACATTTGTCACCTACAACTGTTTCCACGGAGAACAAAGATGCTTTGAGGATGAAGGTGAACTTGAATGCTACCAGAAAGTGGTGCAGAATGAGCATCGTGGTGGTAGAAATTTTTGTCTTGCATTCTCAAATTGAGGACCATGAAAAATTACAGCCATTTTGAGAACGCCGTAAGTTGCATATGACCAGCAGCTGTCACATTGGAAGCAGGAGATAATAGTAATTTTGGACAACTCAGTTTCTTATGGAATTACTATTTACATGCTGCTGCTAAAAGAAAAAGTTCTCCACCTGTGAAGAGGTCAGCCTGAAGAATTATGGCAAAAAAAGCCATTAACTCCATAGACAGATTTTCAAGCATGGCTATAAATCACATTTCAGGGAATTTCAGTTTTTAGGGCAGTTTAGGTATTTTGCATTACTCCGCTGCTCCACGCTGTATGGTCCCTTCAGTGCACACCTGTGTCAGCATTAAAAGTGGTGGGCAGGGGCACTGGAACGATCCCCTTGGCTGGCTGACCCCTCAGGAAGAGGCACGGAGGCACGTCCCCCCAAATCAGCTCTGCACGTGAACGTTATCAGGCACCGGGTGGATCTGCATTTTCAGGGCTTGAGAGATCAGAAGGGAGAAAAACCACGCAAGTGCCTCAAGCTCACGTGCCAAAGTATCACAGATAAGTCGCTGCAGAAACAGGGTACAGCTCCCACGGAGGAAGATTTGAAGATTCAAGGGGAATTCACCACTTCTCTGAAACTGTGTTCAGTGTGCTAATCGCCCAAACTGTTAGAAATACCTTTCTGATTTATTTTTAATTTGAATATATCTGGCCTTTGGTTCTTTTTATGCCTTTCTTTACTCGGTTGAAAAAGCCTTTAGTGCCCTGCATTTTCTTCTAGTGAAGGTACTCATATACCATAATCGTATCTCTTCTTGATCTTCCTTTTGATATGCTAAACACCTTCAGCTCCCTATACATTTCCTTGGAACACATCTCCTACAGCCCTCAAATGACTTTTTGTAACTTTTCTGATCCAGTGAAATTCTCCTGCATCCTTTTTAAAGTGCGGAAGCCAGAACTATATGTAGTATTTTATTATCAACATGTCTAAGAGGTAAAAATCACCTCCCCTCTCTAGTTCTAACAGAACCTGGAATGTAAGACCGCGTTGGCACCCTGGTGAAATATCCTTGCTAATGAATGAATTACAAAGGTAGCGACATGACATAGAAGGCCTCTTAAAAGCCAGGTGGCCAGGCAAGGGAGAGACAGCAGATAGCGAGATCATTTTCTCACATGACAAAATAAAGCATAAAAGAGGAATTGGCACAATCCTAAGTGATAGGGACAGAAAAGCACCACTTGGCTACAACCCAGGCAACTTAATTATCATCATGACTTGTTCAGGAAGACAGCCTTTTAACTCCACTGTGATCCAGGTCTATGCTGCTCCAAAGGATGCCAACGAGAGGAAACTGTGCGATTCTGCAATTAGAACTGAGCTGGACACACATCAGAAGCAGCGAGGCATGAACTGCTACAATTTGTGAGACTCCGTATCCTTTATCAGCAAAGTACAATGTTCCAGTAAAACCAAGAAACAAATGGAGAGGGGAAATTCTGCAAAGCACTGACAGAAAATGACACGGCTGAAAAAGACAGGACTGCAGTAACGTGAAGTTCTTGGCAGAACGAGAGCATGGCATTTTTGAGTGTAAAGATAATGAGAAAGAAATA